TTGAGAGGGACATGGTGGCTATTTTATGGTGCTACCCTCTTTTCTCTGGAGAAACACCTGCTCGGTCTCTGGGAACCACTGCAATAAGTGGCACTTTTGCCCTCCAGCAGCCTCCTTCAGCCCTCCAGTGACCTGCCTTAAAAAAAATAACGAATGCTGCTCAGAATAACTTTAACCTCCTATGCCCAGCTACTGTCCGCAGTGGACTCAGAACTCATCAAGCCACTCAGCAGACACTGGCAACATGAGAATAAATAAATCAAGCGAATCACTGAGCCTCGGAGTAGAGCACACAGTGCAACAGGACAGGATTTATTTGGGGATGCGGACTCCACGGAGAGCTGCTGCTCTTCCTCCTGCCCACGTTGATCCTCCCATTTCCACTACCCCCCAGGAGGAAACAGGTACATGAAGCACAGTGTCACATAAGACTCTGGAAGTTTCAATATTGCTTTCTTTCCATCTGTACGTTTGTATGCTGGGAAACATAAGGTGACTACGGAAATGTGAATAAGATGCTACTTAACGTAGGCCCTCCGGAAAGGAGCCGTAAGAGCAGCTTGGCTCCTGAGGGCAGGCTAACAGGTGTCTTGGATGGCAAATGTTTAATATCCGGCGTGTTGCCCCATCTGCTCCACCGGCCGTTCCAAGATCCTCACTGCTCTTGAGAGGAAGGGGAGGGCCTATTTATCCAGTGGAAACAAAGCATTTAAAATAATGGTATTGACCATCACAAGTAGAGAACTGCAATCATTTTGTAAACGTTCATAACATACTGCAATTATATCGTGACTATGAAGTCATGATGTAATTGCAGCTGAACTCACTCGTCTACTCTAGCTACCAGATTAAGCCACTGAGAGCCTCCCTTTAAAAATACAGTTTTAAGAAGCAATGTAGCCTGGGCTAAACATTTTCAAAAACTGATTTTAGTCAATAGAAACTGTAGATTTTAATAAAGTTACATAAAGCCACTTCAGATCGTGAGAACAGATATAAATACTGCGCATCACAAACTTTCCAACTTCAAGATGCTTCATTTTCTAATTCAGATTGCTGGAAAACATTGCTTTTTAACACTTCAGATGGTATCTAAACATGCATAAATAAGCATAAATAGCTTTATCTCAGTTATGAACAAATTTGAATGTAAGATCTCACCATTCATACACGAAAGTAGCTTTGTAAAATGTAGTATTTTCCCTTGATAACAAAAAGAAGAAAGTCCGGTTCATAGGTCAATCCCTATATAACATGTACTATCATGTGCTGCATGCAGTTCTGCAGTGGTGCTGCATGCAGTTCTGCAGTGCAATGAGCAGAGGACATTTCAATATATAATAAAATAATAAACTCAGCAAGAGATAAAGAAAAAAATCTCTTCCTCCTCCAAATACACCACTTTGCTTCCTAAAAAGATATGTAGAGTATAGCGAGATTAGCAGGCAGAGCACTTCATTACTCTTAGAGACTTTTGATATCATACTTCCTAATGTCTTTTGCCCCTAAATTTTTTTCTTAACCAAACCAAAGAATAAGCAGTGATATTTTTTTGTCTAGAATAAGCTTTTGTTCTTAAGGGGCAATGGACAGATTCCTATTCATTTCACTATTTTTTTTTTTTAGTTAGATCCATAGTGTCAAAAGTTTGCTGAGCTGTTAAACTTGTACCAGAACAAATAGGTTTGACCTTGCATTATTTTAAAAGCTAGTCAGGATTTTACCTAGGTAATACTAGTTGGGTGAGTGTTAAAGAACACCTTGACACCTACAAATACCTTGCTTGAATTATTTTGAATTACTGTATAAATTAAGTTGTCTTAACAGGTAGCTTGATGGTTGTTGTGCTCTAGATGTGAACTATTACTGGTAACCTAACTTATAGTCTTATTTCTCTCATTCACTGGGGCAGCAATGAATACAGTAACAAAATAATCAATAATCTGCACTCATACTGCTATGTATCAGCAATGGTATTGCCAGATTTCACAATCCAGACAAGAACAGGACTGGAAAACTTTCAAACAGATGCATTTCTGGTGGTCCAAACCACAAGTACTAACAGTTCAGCTCTCAGAATTACATTATCTGCTGAAGGGGTCCTCGCAAGGTTCTCTCTTCCTTCACCCTCTCCTCTAAAGTTAGGATCAAATACATACAAATGACTTCTGACTGTTGTTTTTCCAACCTGTTCTTCAAAACCTCCGATCGTTTCACAGCTCCAACAATCTATTTCAGAGCTTCAGTAGCCTTACTGTTTTCTCCTGTCATCAAACCTAAATACTACTTCATTGCAATGCAAGTCCACTAGCTCATCTACAAAAAACAAAGTTTAGTTTAGTTTACTTCTTTCCACTCTGCAAACACTTACAAAGAACATGGACATCCTTCCTGCTGCTTCTGGCACAGTGAATGTGACACACTTTGTCATTGGACATCGGTCATTCCCATCACCTACCCAGTAGGTGGGACCATATGGAGCTGTTCTACTGCCCCATGCTTCATTTCAATGAATACATTTGAAACACCAAAAAGATGTCAAAATGCAAGTTTCATCATGAGGCCAAGAAATGCAGAATTAACGTTCCTATAGTAGCCTAACTGCGCTCCTTACATGACTATTTGTCCTTAAGGTCTTCTATTCTATAATTGCATAGTGCTAGGCAACTTATTTTCTATCCATTAGGAAGCTTTGAAAGATCTGTCTTTTCAAAAGCAGCAGGTGGAAAAGTAGTGGTAGTAGTCGCAATTAAGCCACAATTTCTGCAGCACTTTTACACTGAATTAAACTTAACTCCGGATACTGAATTTTTGGCCTCATCCTCCAAATATGACGAGAAGTGCTGGCGTCTTCCTAAGCTCACAGTGCTTGTTGAAGCAGCAGCAGAATAAAACTGATAAAGCCTTAGTCAGTGCATCTGTCACTATTCAGGGCCCCCTTAGAGGCAGCAATAAAACTGCTGAAAGTGGGGTTAAATCCATGCTGTAGCTACTCAGGACAGCTAACGGCCACAGCAAGGAGTAGTTTCCAAACTGCGTGAAGGCAAGTAACATTGCCCAAGAAAAGAGTCTGAGGTTGGGGGGGGTGGGGAGGAGAAGAGTTATGTTCACTATGGCAGCAGGTTAGGGTTTCCTGAAGGCATCGTGGTTTCCTCTCTCTCTTTCTCTCTCAATTACTAACAGGCCCTGAAAGCATGATACTGATATTCAGTTCATTACCAAGGAGTCCTGAATCATATGCACAAGCCAGTTCATTTGTTTTACACACGGGTCTAATTGCTAAGTTCTAGTAGTATCGAGTAGTTTTTGCTTTATAAAGAAGAACAGCTGCAGAGAAAGAGTCCAGCAGATATAAATAACTTTGAATATGCACATTGGAAGTAGCATATGATACTCAGTCTCACATAAATTTATTAGACATAAATTGAACTAAAGATGGAACGGCACAAGATATAACTCCAATAAAACTCAAAAAAATCAAAGCAGCATTTTAGTGCATTTTTCTTTGATAATGGTCCCAAACAGAGAACAGAAGAACAGAAGATCAAGTAGTTAAGATTTTAAAAAAGCTAACTACAAACAGTTTTCTCTGTAATTTAAAGCAGGCAAACACCTTTCCTTTTGTAAAGTACTGGTTAGTGCGCCTGTAAGGGAACAGTAAGCATTAAGGCTAAAGTGCTGCACAAATGCATTATTCCAGTAAGTATAGAGGACACACAGGCTATCTGCTGAGCCATGCGTGAGCTAATAAGAGTGGCTGTTAAGACTACCCTGTTAAATTACAGCAAAAGGCACCTAGGAAGACACAGTGAAAATCAATTAACTGGAAAAATGGGAAGAGAAATAAAATACAGTGGTCAAACACTTTTCCATTCAGACCTATAAAAGTTTCCTGCATGCTTACAAAGCAGAAACATGGTGTTAAGCAAACAAAATTACCACGTTCTCTTAGATTAGGTTCACCCTGCCAAGTACCAAGTACCTACAATTCCTATTGGAACAAAAAAGGACATGAAGCAGGTTGCTCCTTTGCAGAGCAAACACCCTTTATTACTAACCAGGTAAAAGAAAAACCTGTGTTAACAATTTCCAGAACATAGGAATTATGCTGTAGTTTCAAACTTAAAAGTACTTTTGGCCCACAGACTGGTGTTGTGAAGTCCTCTCCACTGCCTGCCTGTGTCCCCATGGCTGGAGTAATAAAACACAGTGCATTGCATACCAGACTGCCTGGATACACCCTCAGTGAACTTAAAAGTCAACATTAGATAGGCAGTTCAAAGAAATACAGCAACAATTTTTTTGCTTTTTCAGTTCCATCCTAACGTAGAACTCAAACTTCCAGGGGACTTCTTAATTCTTCCTTACAACTTTAGAAGCAGCCTGCATTTGGCTACCTACAGAGAGCTCTGAACACACCTGCTGGAAGATGTACAAGTACTAAGAGTAGAAACTGGTCCCTAAAAAAAAACACTGCACAGTCCTGTAAACAAGCAGCTAGGCTACTGATAAAAGTCCTTGCAAGTTCCCTGTTTCCCTTTTCCCTTCTCTGCTTTCAATACCCTTTCTGCCCTGCTCACGCATAGCCACCTTCCTAGAAACGACAGTGTAGAACATCACAGGAAATCACTGAATGAAACACCTCCGATTAGGTTCTTGGTCCAGAACATAAATGGAATAATATTGTACTTACTGAAATTGAAGGTGCCATTTTTTCAAATGCTCCAAAGACTAAATGCAAATGCCCCAATGACACCATGTTTTCCATCCTTCTACTCTAGACTGCTCTGCCAGACAATAGATTTCCTCATCTCTTGATAGTAAACAATCTTTTCCCTCCACATCTCTACCAGTAAACCTCATTCAGTGTTCCTGGTATGTGTTGCAGGCAGAAGAATGTGAAGTTTCTTCTGAAGCCTAGGAATCTGGATATGTTTGGCAAAGACCATGGTAAAAACTACTGTCCCTTTAGGACACTAATGTCAGTAGCAGCATCTCACCTCTCAGTACTGACTTGAGGTTCAATTTGGCTTGTCGGTGCAGGTCCTCCACGCAAGGTGGTCTTGAAGAAGGCAGAAACACATTTTCCTGCTGGTGCCATGGAGCAGTGTAATGGACTGTCCATCTACTCTCTTCATCTAGGTTGGAAACAGCTGCAGAGAGAGACAACAGTTAGAAAATTAAATGCTATTGTAGATGACTATGCCATGTAACCCCCCCCCCATAAACATGTCAAGCATCATCTTGAAATGAAGGCTGTTTGCCTCCCTTATCAAAAAGCTCTCTAGAACCTCACTCCCATGATAATTTAAAACCCTCTCATCTCCAGCTTAAATTTAGTCTTTTGCGTTAGGTAGGAAACTTTTCCCTCTTCCCTTGTTTACAGTTGCTGATGCATTTGCAGTGAACTTGCAGTTCTCTTTCCCCTCCCGCTCTAGCTCCCAGGCTTCTCAGATGAAACCAGTTTCCACTCCCTTGGTTACACCAGGTGCTGCGTGCTCAGGATGACTTCCTCTTTCGCAAGGGCGACCTCGAGAATATGAGTCACCATGAGAGATTACTACTGATTCATTTGTACGGCGAAACAGTCTTTCCTGGCTTCATGGCCAGCATAAACCAGAGATAAAAATTCCACCAAAGCCAACAAATTTGCCACTTTACATTACTGTGAGTGCAAAGCAGATTCTGACAACAGCGACTCACTAGGCAAAAACTGGGCAGAGCACTGGAGGAGGATTGCACCAGCCGTCTTTTCTCGGCCAATATACACATGAAAATAAAATACTGACGCTGCCCAAGTTCAAAGTTCCCTATAGGCAGTCTAGCAACGAAGCAGCCAAAGCCCATAATTGTATGATTTGTTTCTCATTCACGTTTCCCGGGAGATAGCCATTACCTTTTGCTTAAAGTTTACCATCAATAAAAACTTTTACAGTTGAATGGCCTCATCCCTCCGCTCTGTAATAACAGGCAAAGGGCAGCTGGGGGTCAAATTTTATGCTCCCCCAGGCACCGCTCGGCCTTCAGCCAGCGCGCTGGCTGCGTAGCCTGGCTGCTCGCTCTCAGCAGTGGCCAAGGCCCTGCAGCTGGGCTGCCTCCCGTGCCCTGAGCACGAGCTGCCCCAAGCCTCTGTGGTAGCAAGGGAGGTGGGGGGGAAACCAAGGAGCAAAAAAAAAAAAAAAAAGGGGGGGCAGCAGCCGGGAGGAGGGGGGTGGGGGGGAAAACAAAGAAAAAAAAAAAAAAAAAAAAGGGGGGGCAGCAGCCTCCTCCTGTTAGCTGGAAAATGACTCTTTCCGTAACACTACAGTATAACTGCAGGGCTCATTTCAGAGCGAAATAATCTGTACTTGTTAAAGAAAATAAGTGAAGTCTTTCACTGCAAAATTTATCTACCACATGTGCTCAAAGCTTGTTTTGTCCTGAAATAACTTTTTTTGGAGGGGAGGTTCCTTGCATTTTTTTTTTCTTCCTCTGACTTCAGAAAAGGTTTTCAAAGTGCCTTGGTTGGTCTCTTCGTTCTCAAACCGGCTTGGTCCTGCATCCCCTCCCCACCTGTACCCACTCCTTGGTGCTGCCTGCACCAGTGCGCATATGCATCCAGGACAAGACTGCTTTTTCCATCCTTCTGTAAGCAGAGGTCAAATCTAAATCATAGCAAACTGATAAGTCACCACCAGCCTGGCTACAGTGTCAATCACCCCTCTTTTGCAGAAAGTGACAGATACATTTGGTGACCTGAGCTGTATGAGAAGCACTCATTCCCCCGAGGGAGCACGGGCAGACTGGGAGGGGAGCACAGGCTGGGGAGGAAGGGGAGCAGGGAAACACCAGCCTCTACCTCTCTCCCCAGTTTCACTCCTGCCGTACCAAAACCTGAAAATTTACCACTTACCAGAGCAGCAGTCAACAAAAACCCGTCAAAAGCAGCGTTGCACCTATTTACAAGCTACTACCTGTAGCGCAAGTAATGAATTAAATGAGGAATCACCGTCTGAATGAATTAAAAGGTCAACCACAACTATTTTTAAAACGTTAAAAAAAAACAAACAAAAACACTAACGGAGTCCCAGAACCGTCTGTGAGCACCGCTCAGAACAAGCCGTACGGATACGGCCACCTACCCATCTGCTTGCCCCGCAAGCAGAGACCCGCAAAGTTTCCCTTCTTCCAAGCCGCAAAGACAAAGCGCTTCCAAACAGGACGACAGCGACGCGCTGCCCCAAAGCGCACATCCAAAATCACTTCACAGCGCTGCCTCTCCACGTTGCAAGCTAGGCAATTAAGAAGAAAGTGGCATAAATCCTAAAGAGAGGCTTCTATGCAGTAACATAAAAGCCTGGCTGAATTGCAATTTCCTGCGGGACTATTATTCCACCAAAAGACAGCAAGCACACACAACTACTTACTCTTTCTCTTGAAAAGTTTGATGAGAGATTTAAGCTTTGTGTTGATGAAAACCACCATTTCCAAGGTGTTTAACTGCAGTCCTGGAGTTTAAATCCCATAAAAAGGAGTTGCAGACAGATGACTCGTTTTCAGATTGTTCCTACTCAGACTTCACACGCTAAATTTTTCTTTCTCACACGTCTCCCCCCCTCCTTTTTTCTTAAATCACAACTTTAAATCTGCCCAAATTGTATTGATACACGAAAACATTTACAATTCTTTAACCTGAATTCCTCCTCCTCAAACGTAGCCTTGTGGGCTGAAAGCAGGCAGTTTCAACATGCAACACGGGAAAAGGAAAAAAAAAAAAAAAAAAGGCAAGTTAATCGTTATTCACGTTTGCACAGGAGAGGCTTTTTCGCTAATTGTGCATGTATTCAGTTGTTCTTCTCATCTGGTCTTCCTCTCGCCAAGCCAAGTCTGACTACTCCACAAAGACAGAGTTTTGCAGGTGATCTCTTTTCTTGCCATTGCTCTATGGGGCTCTTCCACACCCCTTACTGTGGAGCAGAGAGAGATGCGGCCACCTTCCCGTCCATCCTTTGCACCTCCCAGGCTAATTGTCAGTCTATGGCATTTGAACTGCCTGGGACAGGGAAGCTTTCAACTATTGTTTTCCAAACACGCCCCCAAACCCTCCCTCCCTCTGCACTATAGGAAACATCCAGGAGCAGCAAGGCACTACAATACAGTCTCCTTGGAGTTGTAAATAAGAGTTGCATTTTCGTGCAAATCAGGACGCCCTTCATTCCCACCACTCCCATTCCTCCCCCTTTTTTCTTCTTCCCTTTTTTTTTTTTTTGCTCTCACTCGCACTTTATTAATGCCCTAAGAGCTGCATTTTAATTGGCTGCAACATGTAGTCTTTTCTTTGTATTGCCTTCCCTTCCAGATACACTTCTCCCTCCAGCTCCAGACAATTACAATGACTAAATCAGCCCAGCAATCTTACATATTGCATTTCAGCCTGTAATGCTCCTAATTTATTCTTATTAGCGTCAACTCAGACTAGCTATATGGAAAACAAAATCAAGTTATTTCTGTCTAATAAAGAACCTGTTATTCATCAAATGAAACTTGTGCAGAGATGAAACAGCATGACTTTTTGAGATGCACATTAGATCTTCATGCCTTTAAAAAAATTCTGTACAGAGGTTCACAGCCATCCTTCTTAGAAATGAAGGGCAATTTTGCAGAAGTTGAGGAGAAAATGCTAAGCACCAAATCAATGTGCTCAGCAGGGCATGCCCTGCACACAATGTTAAGACTCAAGAAGCAAGCCCTCTCCTCACAAAGCAAATCTAGGAGACTGCCTCGGGTTAACAATGAAAAGGGTTTTTCCTCAGGAAAAAGAAAAATGCCAGCAGCAGGGGTCTTAGACTGACCCCAAAGCTGTGGCAGGTTCCAGCCCCTGGAGCGCAGCATGGAAAAGCAGATGCTCCGCGGAAACACTTCACTCCAAGTTTCACCAAATTGCTGAGACTCCGCACTGTACTGGACAGAAACAAACGTAGTTCCTCCCTCACTGTCTGAGCACAACAGTATCAACATTTTGTGCGTATTTTGCAGATCCAGCGATTTCACAGTTACAGCAGGGGTTTGATACCAAAACTGCCATAAGCAACTGGACTTTGCAGCAGCTGCTGGTCCAAGAGACATTCTACCTGGCTCACCTGTGTCACAGGGATGGGTGCAACAGTGTAACACTGGTGCAAAAGCACCTCCGCTTTTGCACTGATTTCCATCAAGCAGCTTATACAAAAAAACAACCATGGCCTCAAATTACTAACAAGATTATCGTGCCTCCGTATATTATCCTGTTTCACATATCAGAGACTTGAAATTGTTGCCTTCCTTTGTGAAAATTCACAGTAGCTCCCCTTCCAACTGAAAAGGGCACCCTCTTCCTAAAAAAAAAAATTCGATACCCTACAGAAAAGGCCCCAGCCAATATTATAAAAGACAAGGCTGGTTAGGCAGGCACCTGGCACAGAACAAACCTGCATAGGCAAAGGAGGGAACGCCGTGACCAACGCTACAAAAAGCAAACTCTTTGCAGAATGCCCGTCAGGGCAATTTTTAAAGCAATCCACCTAACTGGCATCTACAGACTAAACTGCAGGGAAAACAACAACTGCGAAAGAGTAAATATGTTTTTAATAGACTTAATACCATAGTTCTAGAATACATCTTCCAGAGACACTAATCCTGAAGTCACAGCTAAGAAAAAAAGTCCATGGAGTATGCCACTCGCTATAGCATACTGCAGACTGCACTGAGAGGAGTTTTTACTTCATAGTCCCTTGGCAGTTCTAAAATCCAGTACCACCAGCAATTAAAGGAGGAGTGGGCTTTGAAATGTGCAGCAAAAATTACAAACCAACTTTTAGGTGATTCAGTCTAAATCTCTCTCACCTTCTAAAGAAATGCTCTGAGTATGGAACTTGAACTACCTTCCTTGGGTGCTAGCATCTGGGTTATTTGAGCCATTACTAGCTCTTGGGAAAACCATGCTTGATTTAATGACTTTTGTGATATTTAACACCACATACCTCATGACAATGCTACTTGGTATGAAAAAAAAAATCACACATACAATAACATCCTCTTTGGAATTTTGCCATTATCTGCATTTCATTAACAACATTTTTAGACACCTACCTGCCGGATACACTAGGGAAGTAAGTTCAGAGTGACTCCGTTTTTA